ATGATGATGATAGGTATAATATTTATATCTTGTCACCTAGTAATTATTACTTAAAGACTACATAAATAAATGGGCAGATGCAATGGCCTTCACACTGAAATGAATAGACTATAAAGAATAACAATAATGGTTGTATGCTGTATGTAATTATTTCAGTTACGAGATTGTCTAGTCTGAACTTGATAGTGAAGTGATTGTGAATTTAATGTGCATCATGACCTAGCATCCTTTATTCCGTGCTAGGGAGAAGTGAAAACATTTCCTTGACACTACAATTTTCTTCTGTGTTGTGGACGGGTTAAAGAATAAAACTTATTCTTTGCGAGAATCGAACTCACGAGCAGTGGTGTTTGTGTGAAAAAGGTATAGCCCAATCAGTAACCGCTTATTCAAAATTTTCGCCGCTTAATTTACGAGTCTCGTGTAACAGGGACCAATGGCCATTGCCAATACCAGGCGTACTTCTGAACTCTATGGTATTACAGAAAATGAATCAATTTTAATCTGAATCTCCCAAACTGGTTAACAAACTCCTGAATTCGTAAGCTTACGCCACAGTAGAGCTGGTAATTAATTCACAAACAAAGTAGAATTTGCTATCATACCGAAAACAAAGAGTTACGCAACCTTCATTAGACATCCACTGACTATAACTCTTATATCAATCGACCTACAGGATTAAACGAAGTACAACCGTAACTAAACAACAAACACGCGAATTTCAACCTTATGCAATTACCACAGCACCACGATAACTGCAACTTTGATACACTTGATACATAGGTTCTAGAATGGTGTAACTGGACAGATCTAGGTCATTTGGGAGCCACAAATCCGATAACTGACAGTCATAGGGAGTTTAATTGACAAGTTCATATAAAATGTACGTATAAAATCAAAGCTTTTGTTTTGTTTGTGTGTGCATGAGAGGTTTTGCGCTAATAGTGGCGCTAGTGGGCTATAAGGTCCATACTTAGTTACCTACTGTTTATTAAGATTAGAGGAGTCTTAAGTGTGGGAGAGCCATGCTTCGGCACGAATGGGCCGGCTCGACCGGAGTGATACCACGGCCTCACGGAAAACCGACGTGAAGCAACGCTTGCGTTGTGTTTCGTCGTGTGAGTGAGGTTACCGGAGACCCAATTACCTTTCCCTTCCCCAATCTTCCCAATCCCTGAATCCCCAACGATCCTCAAACTCCCAAAAAGCCGGTGACGCACTTGTAACGCCTCTGGTGTTCCAGGTGGCAGGGCGACGCCGATTGCTTACCATCAGGTGATCCGTCTGCTCGATTACAGACTTATGCCATAAAAAAAGGACAGAGTGACCTATGTCAAGCAGTGTATTAAAAAAAAAATATATACGGATTTTTACGAAATCATCCGATTTCGCTTACCTAACTACCAAGGGCTAAAAGGCTAAGGTTATACCTAATGCTTCATTGAAACCATCTTGTGAGCATGAAATCGATCGCAAATAACTATTCATAAAATTTCTGGCTTACCACAAACAGTGGGTATCCAATATTTATTGGGATGGTTCTTGTAGATTGTAGAAACATCATCTGGAACTTTGTAATAATAGGTATCGTCAATTTGACGACTACGCAAAGGATAGAAGTGGCCTTCACCTCCGCATCCATTGTTTACTGATACCAGACACGTTAATTGTGTAATAATCGCAATAACACACTTTATATAATTCCATTCTTGTTTATTTATACACGTATTATATTAAATTCGGACTTGCTTTTCCATCAAATTCCGTGTGACATAATATGTATATCTGACGCGCTGTATTTGGATATTCCTGGAATAAAATGTTGTGTAGCTTAACCTTGACATGTAATCAACTTAATGCAAGTTACCGGAAACTTTATATTCCTGTCCTAGTGCATCTACCAACTTGATACAGTCATCAGATTTTGGTTTTTCCGAATCTGCATAGGTATGTATCTATTACCTAGTTTTTTAATGGAATTCACGAAGATTCACGTATCACTTGATTGATAGTAAGCAAACAGCAAGTGGACTAATCTCTCTTGCCTAAAAATGTTGCTGGTCTGCTAGGATATTCTGTAACTCAATTCAACCTTTCGAAGTGAGCTTGATCACATTCTCGCCCGTAATTAGTCGAGATTATTCTCAGAACCAATTACATGACCGACTGCGATCGGGGTCACTCCGATCTTTCGAATAGAAAGTTACAGCCTAGCTGGCGAAACCAGCTAGGTTGGTCCTCCGGCTCCACCGGATGGTCCTCTGGTAACCTCATGAAACGACATACAACGCAAACGTTGTTTCACGATAGTGTTCTGTACGGCGGTCGAGCCGGCCCATTCGTACCAAAGTATGGCTTTCTCCCTATCTATCCAAAACCAGGAACAGGTGTGAAGATAATGATATCATATTTTCTCTAAACGAATAAAAAATGTCTCAGTTTTATAGGTTTTGCGTCGATAAGCAGAGTAGTTGTTACGTATGCCAATAAAACGTTCTGAAAGCCAGCGCTTTGACTAGCTGTGACCTATATTTCTCATACAGTATTAGTAAATATGGCTCTCAGTTCTATGATTGCTAGAATTGTTAGGCTTCACAGCGCTAGACAAATTAATTCATATGTTAGTAGGTTTCCGAAATTCGTTAGTAATGAAATGTAAGATTTTAATCAACTTTCTCTGGGTTCTATTGTAGAAAGAGACAGAAATGTCTGGAAAATTAGAAATATCATTTTTCCCTACAGAATTGAGAATAGACCTGCCAAAAAGGGTCTTAGGTAATTTCTTAGTGTTGTGTAAGTATTAAATGTCGACATTGCAAAGACTGATGAAAAATGTTATGCAACCATGAAAATTCTTACAAGCTTTTCTTTTCAATTAAAAATAAACTTAGAGTTACACTGAAATTGTACCCTTTTATTTCACAAGGGTATTCTTTATAAAGTGTATAATAAGAAGTAGAAATCATGTAACTAGGTATTAGATTAATTGTTGGTGAAAATGGTTTTAGCCTCGCAGTTATTACAGGACCTTTCTGTACAACTCTAGCTGAGTTCTCCCATTACTAAAACGCCCAAAGCCAAGTGAAAATATCAAGTTGTGCTTCAATTGGACCTACTACAGTTTTGCTACATAACCATAGACTCACTCACAGGCTCAGATGTCCCTTTATTTTCTGTAATCGATCCTGATAGAAAATATAAACCTACCTAGCCTTTTCTATCTATCTATCTATCTATCTATCTATCTATGTAGTCTCGTCTCGTCTCGCAGCTGACAATCAACCCCGTTTCTGCGCTAGACATAAATCCAATAATGTGATTCAATCCAGACTGCCAAGCGATGTTACGTTACCGTCCTTTTACGTCACCCAACAGATTTAGATTGCTTTTGATAATTACTTGGGGAGAAAGGGATTTAAATGTTGATGAATATAAAGAAGAAAGGAGATGGATTGAGTGAGGAGTGAAAAGATAGAGATAAATAAAACTTTTGGATGTAATGAAGTAAAAGTTGGCATAAAGTTAATCCATATGATGCTAATTATTTTGGGGTGTGTATGTAGGTGTCATCACCTTTATTTTGCGTTTAAATTCACTGGTAATCTACTATTTCCACTAACTTGTAACTTAAAAGAGCAAAAACGGTGAATTGTACTTTTTCCGCATTTAATGTATTACTCACCTATAAAATAAACTGCATACAAATTTTTGACTGTATCCCCATCTGCATCAGATGAGTACCTAACTCAGTATTATACTAAGGAAGTTTCCTTGGAATATCTAAGTCATGGAAGATTCTAGAAGTATTCAAAATGGTGACATGTTTATAAATTCATGAATACATGGATAAATTGCAATGTTGACGTTTTTCGTACACAGTGAGTGTATTGTGATCGCTTTGCATTGTCGACATTATTATTTATAGATTGACTTTTATTCGTACCTAAATTAAAAATCGTATTTTGTAAGAAGAAAATTCATTTCTTCTTACCGATTATACCTCTAATTTGTAAGGTGTTTAGGGTTAGAAAGTAATAGCCAACTGCATCAACATTTTCGCGGCATTTTCGGAAAACTCAGTATAATCTGTGCATTTTCTGTCAAGGGCGTAATCGTTTGCGTCATCAGCGATAACGATTGTAGCAGAATGGTATAGTTATTATGTTGCTAACTTGGAATGAATAAAGTATTCAATTAGTATTATTTTAGACCATGAACACGACTGAGGTGCCTAGGGAGAGGTGTGAGGTAGTTACATTTTTTAACGTAGCCTCATAGATAGGTCTCTTTGACAAATAACTCTGCACTGATTAAAATCTGACTTCTCTAACTGAAGTGCCATTGTAAAATAGGATACATAAGAATTTAGAATCATCCTGCAAGTGATCACGTCACAATCCCATCGCGAATCAATAGACAGGTCAATAATACGCTTCTTCAATTGCAAATGATTGGAATTGACTGCAAGCATAAATAGATGCCGTATATATATGTGCATAAGAAAATTATATGCATGTTTCATAACATCGTCCCTGAAGTACCGCAACTGTATAATTTATATTTCCAGTGCTTTCGCAGATTGCAAAAACTTTCTTAGCTGTCTATCCTTGACCCATCTAGACCATTTTCCTGCTATTTAACACTGAGGCTCCCGCAGCTCAACTACCGTTGGTCGGGTGACTTTCAAAGGTTGCTTATTGTGCGATATCGGAAACGTAGAACGTTCTAGAAGGTACGGTTTTATTTGCTGCTGAGTCTTGCGGAGTGTCGCCCTCAGTACGCATTCGTCTCTCAGACTAGTGGCACGTGTATAATTATTGGAATCTCGATTTGAAATTGAACGAGTTTGTTGTGAGTATGAGTGAAAATGGTTTGTTTGTAATGTATTAGTATTTATTCTTGACATAGATTTGTTGTGAGCATTGAATGCATTGAGATAATATTGTGGGTGACGTGCGTTGTGGTCGCTAGGTTATTGAATAATAGTGCCGATGCACCGCGTTGCATAGAGTTGCGTTCGTTTAGTTCTCCGTGCGTGTTACTGTGCAAGGTTCGCGATAGTGTTTACGGAACAACCTTGTGTTATTATGCAATTATAATCTTGAATATTACCTACCTTAGGTGACTAACGAACTTGTTTTCAATGCACAGAAATGATGCCATCAGTTTATTAATTTTGTAGAGAAGCGTAAACATATTTATTTACTTATAGTATATAAGTACCTACCTAACTACGAACTAGTACTTTCAAGTATGAAAAGCTATACAAATTGGATTACTTTCATGTAAATTACTACGACTTTGACTGAATGCAGAATCACAACAAATGCAAAATCAGGGGATATTTGAATTGGTTCTGTGGACAATAAATATTGGTTTGTGAGTTTAAATTTTATGAATTCAGCGAATTTACGTTGTGGTCTTTTGCGTCGGTTGATTTGTTTCGGTATTTCAAAGAAGCTTGTGAAGCCAATATTTTGAAATCGACAATAATAACAATTACTGAAAGGTCACCGGGGGCCTAGTTTAGCCAACGTTATTTATTTAAAAAAGTTCTTACTACCTACTAATTTTTCTTATGAAATTTCTTAATAATCAACGGTATACGGTAAGCGGGATTTGCTTTTAAACTGTCAAACACCATGCGGTCACCGGTGACCGCAACCTATTGTTCTATAATTGTGTCTACAAAACCGGTACTCGACGAGTTAATACGAAGACTTGGGAAGACCGAGAAACCTAGGAAATGGAAATAAAAATAACCTTTTTTTAAACTAAAGCTATAATGACACGATTTTGTGTATAGTGACACCATTTTTAACATTTTTCTTTTTTTTTCTATAGTCAAAATATTAGATCATAGATTGCCAAATTAGCAGGTGGTTTTTGGATGCCGAAGAAATGAGTTTATTTAGAAATATTCATAAAATAGATGTGAAAAACAATCCTTAGTTAATTCTTATATAAGGGAAAGTTCTTTGTTTTCGATTTCAGGCTTCAATTTAAATTCAAAATGTAACTGATTTTCATTTAGCTATATGACGCATTTGTGTTTCTTTCTCGCGCAGTTAAAGGTATTCATTTTTGCGCACTTTCTTTTGTATTCATTGATGAAATGTATTCATTTGATTCACGACAGTGATTGATAGCATCTGGATCTGTCAACTTATGGATAAAACGAGGGAAAAGGTTTTAATGTTTAAATTAATGAATTTATATTAGGGTTTTCTGCGAATTGGACTGATGACTACGCCTGTCCTGAACCTGAACTGTCCTATGACTACAGATCGAGTCGCAACAATTTCTTAACAAGTAAAATTGTGTTCCATAAATGAAAGCTTGTCTTTGTTTAAATTATATCAATTACAAGTTTTGGGACGTTTTAATTCAGTTTTTTTATTAGCGTTTGCTTACAATTTAGTAATTAAAAAAGATCAAGTTAATTAATGTATCTAATCAGGGGGTCTCGTACCTACAGCTTCTGACTTAGGTACCGCGTCCTCGCTTTGACGCTTTCCGTTGAAATATCGTATCAAAATTTATATATAAGTAAAATGAGGTATAAGGATACATTTGCACAAAACTAAGTAAATAATATTAGAAAATAATGAACAGGTCATTGTTATCAAGTTTCATCGCTTTCTGAACCATTTGTTTATACTTAATATCGGTTTACTATTGCATAACGTTATCAGTATTATGTCATACTAGCTTGCAGTATTTGTCATGGTCATTCTACTTATAAATTAATCGTAATAATTTGTACTATAGACGAATTCGAATCATGGTGGATACTTTGGCAAAATCCATTCAAATTGTCCAATTAACAAAAACGTCTCCATAGAAATGAGTGTTCACGCGAATAATTAATTGAATGTCTACGTAAGGGTCATAATTATAATTTATCGATTGTACAGTTTTTGCGATGTAATTTTTCCACTGCCACGCTGAACACTTTTGTTTGGCTTCGACATCTAACCTTTTTTTAAATAAAGTAGGAAAGAAATGAGGTTTTCTTTTCTCTTTTTCTCTGTTGCGAAGTTGAAACGTCTGCGTTGTTTCCAAGGACTTGGGTGTTTCAGTTTTGTTAGCGCTTCCATGGAAAATATTTGGTTGTTGCTACAAGCCTTTATAACTTTTTGGATCAAGATTTATATTTTCGGGAATAGGTACCTACCTAACTGTAGCATTATATGATAGATTTTTTGCGTAATTTATTAGATTATTATTAGATTACTTCTTTTGGAATTCTAAAACTACAGATTCTCTGATCGATCGAGGATCCTATTTTCGGTTTTGTTGTAGTAACCATCTCGTCTTGACCTATCAATACCACTTTATGCAATTTATGGCACATCGAAATCCTTCACTTTTATTATTAAGTGTGGAGAGTATGGATGGATACTATTACAGACTACATTCTTATTAATTTTATTTTTGTGACACAACGTCATTCTAATTGATTTGTTATTTCATCAGGTAACCCTCAATCGCCACGATGCTTGGTGGTAGCGTACTCTGGTTCCGCCACGGATTGAGGCTCCACGACAACCCTTCATTGCACTCTGCGCTCGAAGAAAAAGGGTTTCCATTCTTCCCTATCTTTATCTTCGATGGAGAAACTGCAGGTGAGACTCATATTGCATTTCTGAATAAACCTTGCGGTCATTTTACTGAAGATTTATCAAAACCATAACATATTTTTAAGGTGTTAAAGGAAAGGGAGTAAAATTGTGATGATGAAGAAATATTCGGACTAAAACAACATTTTAGCAGTAAAAATACTAATCTGTAAACGAAAGACATCTTTTTATGGTATCCCATAGCCGGTAAACGAGCAGATGGAACACCTGATGGTAAGCAATCGGCGTCGCCCATGGACACCTGGAACACTAGAGGCGTTACAAGTGCGTTACCGGCCTTATGGGGTTTAGGAATTTGGGGATTCAACACATGGACAGGACAGGACATTCTCCTAAACTCATTTTGAGGAGTCGATGTTATAAGACCTATGCTTCTTAATAATTGTGGTCAGTTACCTACATATAGTGACTATGGTGTAATGAACGGACAGGTACAAAAGTGGTGGGCTACAACCGTATGCGGTACCTCTTGGAAGCTCTGGATGACTTGGACAACCAGTTCAAGAAGCATGGTGGCCGGCTCATCATGTTGAAGGGAAAACCTAATGTTGTGTTCAGAAGACTTTGGGAGGAATTCGGTGAGAGATATGTTTTTATTTAGTTTTTTTAGCGGCTACTTATATTGTTTTTATCTTCTTTGACTTATATATGTATACAATGGTGAAGTTGATTCGAAATCTAGTATTGCATAGCAGCTGAACGACTTATGGACTTGTCCAAAGAAAATGTGAATGGATGAGACATGCTATAAAAGAAAAGAAATATATAGTGTTATTAATAGAATAGGCCTTATTACACCGTCCTCAACTACCGATTAGCTTTCGATATGACCTCGACCTCAAAATGCGTTCTTTATTTTCTTAACATAAATATTTGTATTGTATCTCAAGGTATCCGCAAGCTCTGCTTCGAGCAGGATTGCGAGCCAGTGTGGAGGGCTCGTGATGACAGCGTGAAGAATGCCTGCAAGGAGATCGGCGTGGTCTGCAAGGAACATGTCTCCCATACTCTGTGGGAGCCTGACACCGTCATTAAGGCCAATGGCGGCATACCACCTCTTACTTATCAGATGTTTTTGGTTAGTGTTTGTTGTGCTATAATAGTAAAACCGCATAACTAAATGTTACGTTACGTCAATTTCTTTCAATTGAGGAACAAATATTGATAAAAGCGGTTATTATTCTTTTAAGAAACAAGAAGAAGTTTGACATTAGTTATGTTTAGCAATAAAATTGATCATTTTTTAGCATACGGTGGCCACCATTGGCGACCCTCCACGTCCAGTCGGCGAGGTAGATTTCACAGGAGTCAAGTTTGGCAGCCTACCTGAATCCTTTTACAACGAGTTTACCGTCTTCGACAAGGTAATTCAAAGTTTTCGGAAGAACTAAACAGCAAAATATTATTTCTATTAAAAGAACATTAACAGGAATTTAAAACCGTTTCAACAATTACTGAGATTATTCTTCCGTTTTCCTAGACTCCAAAACCGGAAGATTTAGGAGTTTTTCTAGAAAATGAAGACATCCGAATGATCCGCTGGGTGGGCGGAGAGACCACCGCTCTTAAACAAATGCAGCAGCGTCTGGCTGTGGAATATGAGACCTTCCTCAGGTATGATCACAGCTTCACAGATGTTTTTTTTTTATTTGTATAAAATGAATAGTTTTGTACTGTTGCACGTAGGACCTATTTCATAATGCCCGATTAAGTTGATATATAATGTATGTCATTTAAATGTATTTTTTATTTTAAATGTCCCTCACAACCTTATTGGGCGTTATGATACAGACCCTCAGTGCTTCGATGCTTAATGAAACATAAACATTTTAGTAAGTTCATCCTCGGAAATGTTTTACTTATAGAATTTTTTTTTGACCGTAGAAAGTCATCCAATGACTTCTCCCGCCTTGGGTTAGGCGAGAGCGAGTATCAGACTTTTACTGACTAAAAACTACCCCGTTCCTTACTCTTGCTCTTCGAGTCGGAGCACCGGTAGCACTAAGTAGTATTTATTGATCGTTTAATATTTTCACCTTCCACAGGGGTTCATATTTGCCAACGCATGGCAACCCTGACTTGTTGGGTCCGCCCATATCTTTGAGCCCAGCGCTGCGGTTCGGATGTCTTTCTGTCAGGAGGTAAGGATACTATGTTTGTTATAAGAAAAAATAATAAGGCCCCTTTTAGAAAACTACACAATGAAATCAGCGGGATCCTCTAAATCGACGAGCATGTTTGAAAACATTGATAAATGTAGATGAAGCGAAATAATTATACTAAAATCATGCCGTTTGCAATTGAAACTTTCTATTGTGTACCAAGCTCATTTATTGGAGGGATTCAACCCATACGTCTAATAAATTATGGAATTTTGATTACTTAATATCTAAATATTAAATAATTAAAGTTCAACGTATCAGCGACAGTGACGGCGGTCGCTGAGTGTAATGACGAGTCTATTTCAGCTTCTACTGGTCAGTACAGGACTTGTTCCGTCAGGTGCACCAAGGACGTCTGACTTCTAATTCTGCTTCCCATTTTATTACCGGTAAGAATTAAATATAATTATAAAAAATACTTTATGTCCCCATACTTCCTTCTGAGGGTTTCCTATGAGCTGACGATGAGACTGCACATTTAAACAGTGGTCGGGGAGCACCGCTGAAAGTCCTGAATACTGCAGTCCTAATTACTATCTCCTATTCGCCTACTAAATGTGATCATGGTAAACCTCATGGTAAAACCACGGGATTTTATTTGAATTCTAGCTGTTGCCCGCGAATTCGTCTGCGTAGAATAGTTCTAGGACATAACTTTCTTATTGTTTCAATTTTACAAAATAAAAATAGCCTATGTTACTCCTTAGTAGATCAGCTACCTACCAGTAAAAGTACAAACAGACAGGCAGACAGGCAGACAAAAAATTAAACATATGTTATTTTGGTATAGGTTTCGTATAAATTATTATGTTTTCGGCTTACTCACGTAATAATTTAACGAGGAACTCGACTAGTTTCAAGCCATGCTAGAGGCTCATATTCATGAGCAGCATTTCGCGACCCGCGACGCGGCGACTGTCGCGCTGCGACTGGCTACCCGAGTGTGCGCCCAGCGCGCCCTCTGCCGTGATTCACGCGCACGCACCTCCATTCGTGGTATCGGCGATGGCGGCGCGCGTGACACTGTTGGCACGCTAGGTTTCGTATATATCGTATTTGCATGTAGTTATGCCAATATTACAAACAGACACTCTAATACTAATTTTGTTTATATGTATAGATGTTGTGGTATAGGATTCAGCCGGTAACATTTAATTAATGTTTACAGGCCAATTGATTTGGCGTGAATATTTCTACACGATGAGCGTGAACAACCCTAACTACGGACAGATGGCTGGGAACCCTATCTGCTTGGATATCCCTTGGAAGACTCCAGCTGGAGATGAACTGCAGAGGTACCTCAAATTGTTCATTAATTACATTTTATTTGATATAATAGGTACTTAAAATCTGCTTCGTGGGTTATACGCAAAACTGACGCAATGAACACTAGATGATTCTACATTTTACTTGACTGCCAAGAAGGCCTCTTGGAAAGATTTGATTGGGTCGACTGTGGGTCGTTTTATACAACTGTGCTTAGTATATTCACAGTACTTATTATTTTAATATCATCACCATATCATCATCAACACCTGAAAGACGTCAACTGCTGGACAAACGCCCCCCCCCCCCCTTAGTCTTTCACGTCGCGACGTATGTTATATTAAATTTAAAACAATATATAACGAATATTATATTATATTTATAAAGACGCGTCGTTTTAAATATAATGTTTTCAACAAATTGTACATAAATTCCAGATGGACGGAAGGTCGCACCGGGTTCCCGTTCGTGGACGCAGCGATGCGCCAGCTCCGTACGGAGGGCTGGCTGCACCACGCCGCGCGCAACACTGTCGCGTCCTTCCTCACTCGCGGCACTCTCTGGCTGTCCTGGGAACACGGACTCAATCACTTCTTGAAGTATCTGCTTGATGCTGATTGGTAAGTTATCTATAATAACATAACATAACATCACTCCTTTTATGGAATTTTTGTTATTAAGGATTAGGCAGAGAGGCAACATTACGGCACTTAATGCCACTGTACAATGTAACCAATTTTTCACTATTTATGTTATGAGTCCCATGTAATAGGGGGTGAGCGTATTGCCATATACCGCAATTCCAGACTCCGTGCTACTACTGAGAATTTTTTAAAACCCAGTAATACTTTATCCGATCCGGGAATCGACCCGAGACCCCTTGCCCCGCAGTCGCACTTGCGACCACTCGGGCAATGAGGCTGTCCTATTATAAATACTGAAATCCAGATCTATTATAAATACTTCCTTAATGAAATTGTTCAACCTCTTGTCTGTCGATATATGAGGCACAATAGAAAGCACATTGTGTCTCGCGTAGATCTGTGTTCCAACACTTCACAATACATGTTAGTTTATTTCATCGCCTTAACTCGTCGAGTACCGGTTTTGCAGACACAATTATAGAACAATAGGTTGCGGTCACCGGTGACCGCTTGGTGTTTGACAGTTTAAGAGGATTAAAGAGGCTTGTCTCCAGCGGTGTAGATATCGAAACGGGCTCATATGCTCAATGACTATTTATTTTAAAACCATAGAAACGTTGATTTTATTTTATCTCAATTACCTGTAAAGAGTTTTATGGTGAGGAGATCAGAGGTGACTGATACGTCTTTGGTAGTCAATTTTAATATTTTTTTGAACTGTTAAAAACGACAGTTTGGATATGGATTTTGTACGAGATGGTGAATTGTGACGTCACGTTTTTTTAGCGTCAAACAGCATACTTATTTCTTAAAATTGCTGGAAATATACTAAAATTAAGTGGGTCATAAAATCAATTAATGAAACTGTAATTATTTATTAATATTTTATTGTGTCTAACAGTCTAAATAATTTATTTTTGATTAAGGAAAGTACCCAATTGTTGTTATCCGAGTTGCTAGTGGCGCTAGTGCAGATTTAGGCATGTGTTTTCGTTTTTCTGGTTGCAGTGACTAAATCACAAAAACCTTTTACTTCTGTAGTGCCAAAGAACGAAACAAAACACTACATTCGATATTATTTAGGAGATTATTTATTCTTAAAAAGGAATACATATAAATCTACTGCACTCTCCTGTTTGTCCAGGTCTGTGTGCGCGGGTAACTGGATGTGGGTGTCGTCGTCTGCGTTCGAGGCGCTGCTGGACTCGGGCGAGTGCGCGTGCCCCGTGCGGCTGGGCCAGCGCCTCGACCCCAGCGGGGAGTACGTGCGCCGCTACGTGCCCGAACTGGCGCGCATGCCCGTCGAGTACATGTGAGATATTGCTGTTTCATTTTTATCTAGTACTTTACAGATCACTGTCATAGCTGTCCCTTGCTTAAGAATATACAACATGTAACTTAAATAACGCACATCCTGAAAATAGTTTGTTCAGAATCGTTAACTGAATCGATTTATATAATTTTTAGTATTATAGCTCACTTGAGAAGTGAGCTCTTATTTTGTTTAGTATGCTCCAAACACGGCCAATGTACTCACGTCTCACGAGTAATTGCAAGTTGCAAAAATAACAACCGAAAAAGCAGTATAACGGCCGGAGTGTCTTACTTTTGATAAGTACATAAAGTATAAGTTATATTTTAAGCTTTTAAACTAGTAAATAATATCAAATTAGACAAAATTATCAATTATAAACCAACGCCACCAATGTTTGTGCGTGTGTTGGCGATTCCTTGGCCAAGTCTCGCCAACATTTATATAAACAGAACAGTGGATGCATGGAGTCGATTTGTATTGAAAAAATAAAATTGTATTGTTTCTTGCTCGTTCTTCTCCATAGGAATCTACATCTTGGAATGAGCAAATAGCTTCACTTTTAAATTTATATTGTTGACGTTCAAAAGTGCCTTCCTGGTATAACTGAAATAAATGATTTTGACTTAGACTTAGACTTTTAATGATAAAGTAAATAAACATATCATACACAAAAACGTATACCGCTAATAAAAATTAGTGATGTATACTAAGATCCCGAAATCTTAATTTTCATATTATAAAATTATTTTAGTGTCCAACGCGACTCCATACATACCTCCTGTAGCGAAATTCGAAATTTGAAGAAGCAAAACGAAACAAAACAAAACGATATAGATCGCAAGACAATAATGGAAAAAAATTATCTTTATTTGTTCGACCTTAAGGTTGAATTCAAACTAGATATTGTTTAACTTATGTCTTTTAATTTCTACATGACAGGAGTAAGAAAATACTTTTCTTGTCTTATGTAACGAATGGTCCTAAGTATTAGATAATATTTTGACGATTTATGACTTTATTATTAGGTGCCATGGTTGTTATTAGGTTGAACTTAAAACTATTTTAAAACATTTATCTCTGTTTGTTATTTTTTTACTATTATTATTCACACGGACAAAACTGGAGCTTGATTTTGTACGTAACCCTTTATCTAGTTGCTATTGTTGATCGAAGATGTATTATGATTATAACATAATATTCTAATTGGGGTGTTTGAGGGTGTGCGTTCATTACGTTACATGTTGTATATGATAAGATTTCTGTACAGTACTGGCTGACTTTTAGGTGAAAAAAGGGTGCAAAATAATTATTATTAAACAATTCGAATCTTACTTCTAGAAATGTGAACTTTCAACAAACGAATGATTGAATATTATTATTTTTCATACTCTAATTTTACAATAGCCCGAGACTTAAAGATTTATAATGCGATCTTCTAAATTCCTTTTTATTATAGTTACTTTGGATCTTATCAAAAAGAAACAAAACTTAATTCTCCTTTAAACTAAACAACTTCATACTTCCAGTTATGAACCATGGAAGGCTCCTATCGATGTGCAGGAGCGCGCTTCCTGCATCATAGGCAAAGACTACCCAGACCCAGTCGTCAACCATCTTGTGGCCGCTCAGAGGAACAGAAATGCTATGAAGGTATGTTGGATAAGGCATGGAATGGTCGTACAAGCGTCTTTTTTGTATTATAATATATTAAATTCACGTTTGTTACGGTTTATGCTCGTAAATATTTAACGAGGTAGCTCAACTAGTTTCGAGCCACGATGGGGGCTCATAGTCATGAGCAGCATTGTCGAATTGAATCGAGTTACCTTTTCAAACAGTTATGTGTGTATCTCGTAGTACATAAATATGATTGAGTATCGTTTAGTAACTTATTAGGACTAGTAGTAGTATCAATGTAGAAAAAAATCATTATTACACGTTTTTAATGTTATGGAAAATGCTTTGTGTTATATATAGAGTTTGTGTAAAATCAAATATAGTTTGATTTGTACACGTTGTGGAAATTAATCTCACTAAGCATTTTCTATAATTTGTCTCGTTTTTGCGTCCGATCAAACACCAATATTTTAGCTAAAGAGTGTGTACGTTATTGTTGTCGTTAAAAAATTTAGATATAATGAAATGCTAATGTCATTTTGTGTGTTTACGAAATTTTCTTTTCAACAAATTGTGGTTTTATAAAGTTGTAACCGACTCTTCGAATTCATTCGAAAGTAAGTCTTATTACGTAGGAAAAAAGTCAATTCGAGTATTTTAAAACCACAGGTTGTCCTATCATGTTCATTCAATATATCACTCATTATACATGTACATAATATGAGCTTTATTTTCTTTAGTATATAATAACTGTGTGCTAGATCTCGCCGCCCGTGCGTTGTACAAACGGGTCGAAATAGGTCGACAGTTTTATTTAGTTAAAACTTTTTGCTTATTTAAACACGTGATGTATGTGTGTTGTTATTCTGACTAATCGTGGCTGTGGATAATTAAAAAGGTAATCAGTAATTATTCTTTAGGCTGCATTAAATTATTCATTAAGCGTTTGATAACTAATGAAAACCATTGAGAGACAAATCTGATAAATCTACGCAGCATTTAGATTATAAATCTTCTTTCAAAAAGATTCATGTGTCTATTTGGAGATATGACTCTTAAGCCTCTCCTAACGTTAAGAGTTCTACGATCTCCGGCGACCGTAAGTAAGCGCGCGCCTCAAAGAGCCATCAAACCACCACAGATGGGGCCTAGTGCGGCTGAAGTCATTCGATGATTTTCCCCCCTCAAAAAAAAGCTTAGGAGTTCTAAGTGAATCCTGAACTCTAGCATTTTAAGTGAAACTTATCTCTCTCGGGGTTTGTTATAATAAATTCATTTAAAAATATTTCTATTTCGGTGCGGCCAGTCGGAAGCTAAGCGCAAAGTCAATTTGCTATTCTATGTTCGTCTCTATTCTCAAAGTCATACCGTTGATAATGGCTTACACAAGATAAGGACATGGACATTATAGACGAAAATTTTATTTGGTATAGGATACTTACTTAGGTTGTAGCCTCTAAATTAGTCACAATACCAGCACACATAGTAGCTTGTGCAAGGCATAGCGAGCTGGACTCAGATGCCCTTGTGTTCCGCAGTGGTTGAGCCGCTCAGTTGCCGGCCGACTGCAGAAGGACAAGTGGTTCGATATAGTCGGGGTTCGTAAACACTTACATATAACCCATCGACTTTTATTTTTACGGCTTTTGGTCGTTCTGTACTTGTGCATAAGGTTTGAAATGCAGTGTCAAGGTTAAAAGGTTATTAGTTTTATCAAACTTTTCTTTGTAATTGTTGAATAACTTACGTAATTTGCCTAACAAACTTGCACGTCGCAGTTCATAAAACCGCCTGCAAGATGGCGTTATCAAAAAAAGTTATCTAACGTTATCTACAAATCGTTTGGGAATAGATGTGAACTAAATAAATAATATTTACGACTTTGATTTCTCCATTTCTTTTTACTCTATGTATAAAGTAACTTTGTTCTGCGACTTGTACAGAATGACCAAAACGTAATACATTTTGCACAGTTTAATCTATTGAAATAAACCACTGTCAAACTTTATTCAGGGTGTTCTGTGAATTGATGTCAATATTTAAAAATAATTATCTTACTTTTAACACATCATTCTAATATTTCTTGGCAATCAATATTATTAAAATAAGTCTCATATCTCACTATGAGAAAAATATTTTTTTATACATAAATTAAAAATTTCATTCTAAATTATATTGTTTCCATATTAAAATTAATATTAACGATTAGAACAATTTACCAATGTTGACATCATATTCGTGGACGCCTTCTTCAAGCTCGCATACAAACAAGCTTTATTGCAATCCATATATATTTCATTCTGTATCATCTACCTATGGTTTCCCATATTTTCATCTGTATTATATTTCTCAAAACTTCATTCTTGTAAATATCTATCTTTGCTATAATCTGTGGGAACGTGATATTTCAAGTATTCGACTTTTATTCTTTTTTAAGAATTTTTGTTCGATTTTGAAAACTCTACTCTATATTTTATCTCATACAGTTTAATTTTCTCTGATACAAGAATGTTATGCGTGTGCTATTCTGTTCTCAACTCTATTTACTCAGAGATATGATTGATATTTGCATATATGGGTATGAGGTGCATTATGGTCTCATAAATTTGGTTTATAATGACTTATATTGAGAAATATTGTTCTATTTTGTTCAGGAACTTCGTCATATTTTGCAAAAAGCTCCTCCGCATTGCTGCCCCTCCTCAGAAGACGAGATCCGACAATTCATGTGGCTCAACGAATAATGGCACGCGGAATTAGTCTCTATTTGTATCGCCGTAAAACTTATTTTAGATGAATGTGGTATCAAAGATAAGATTTCGTTTTTTGTTTATTTTTTTACTACAGTAACTGCTATTGTAATCTTTGTACGTCAGATAATAGGGTGCATTTTTGTTTGTCAAGCCATATTTCTGTTAAAATCATATCATATTTAGACTTAAGTGAATTAGAATATGTTAGTAGATCTGTTTTACGTTCTATGTAAGTACAAGATGTAATAGAATAACACTTTGGGCCGAGTCAAGCCAAAAACCTCTGTGACCAAAGGGTTTGTAGAAGCAAATCGTCAATGTTTTAAGTATGGGGGACTGGACAAGGAAAAAGGATCTTTCTCTCTTTTGTTGGATATTTCGAAATAATAATAATATGTCTTATAAGTACTATTTTTTACTGGGACAACATGGCGGCGCAAGCAGTCGCCGCGGCCAACAAAATGTATACAACTCTATAGAGAGTTACTCACGTTTTGCGTTTAAAGTAATCGAAACGAGTATGCGCTTTGATTGGCAGGCTCCTATGAACCAGCCAATCAGAGCGCCGGCTCCATTGAACCACCAATCAGAGCGCCAGCTCCAATAAACAACAGAGCGCCGAATGCGGTCTCGTTTCGATTACTTTAGACGTAAAATAAACCCGTACTAAGGCCTCTGGTGTCCGCTTGGTTGCGCAACCAGCTTAAACATGCTGCCATGATGCCCCGTTGAAATATAGCCCTTACATCATTGGAAAAAGGTATTAAATCTTTTGTTTTGCAATACTAAAGGCAGTGTCTCTTGAAATATGTGACCTTATTATTGTGTAAAAATTAAGAAATTTTAGTATTTTGGTATTAAATTTAACCAATTATCCGGTCCCCCATAAAAATGTGTATGTGTTAATTACGTGTTAGTATTAAATAAAATAAGAATAAAAATAAAGAATATTGAGATATCAAGAAATTGGTAAAGTGATAGAATGATGTGATTTTGTAATCGGGGTATACCCGAAGATGTTGGGCTTTGTGGAGAAATCCCCGAAAAGATTAGTTTTGACAGGGAAAGTTTCCAAAAATGGTGAATAAATGGGAGTAGCTATATTTCTCTTGATATATATTTTTTGGTGTCAACTCAGTATTGACCGCTTGTATTTGACATGGAATAACTTCTAATAACATTACGAGAATTAAGTTTATATATTTTCTTTTCAAAGATTATAGAATTTAATTTGCGGTATTGCTTTTGTTAATTTTCTTTGGTGCTTAATTATCTACTGTGCCAACGAAAAGGAATCTATCAATAATGTCTTTTAAAGACATTGTTTTTTTTTTCGAATTTATTTGCGTTAAGTTTATTATAAATTTTATGGTTATAAATATTATATCTATGTGTCCATTCATTATATGTATCACTATGTTTTATACAATCTAGTCTTAAGCCAACAGTTTTGAAATCCATCAAGTGATTTTTTTCTTATTAGAGACATCTCAGAGACATACTACTAAGTAATACAAGAGTACTAAGGCTTTGACAGCCAATAAAAAACTATTGGACACAATTTCTCCGTTAACGTTGGGCATTGGTGACCTCCGTGGCGTTTTCAAAGTCAAAGTCAAGGCATTTATTTCAATTAAACTGTCAAACACCAAGCGGTCACCGGTGACCGCAACCTATTGTTCTATAATTGTGTCTATAATGACGGTACTCGACGAGTTAAACCATAATTTGGTACTTTTGAACCTTCAACAAATACAAAATAAATAATAGTCTGTCAGTCAGTCCGTCAGTGAAGCTAGGTGCTCATTCCAAAATGTAGATTGGAATGGAGAAGAACGAGCAAGAAACTGCATTCGTTATTAATTTTTTAAAAGTATGTTTCACAATCTCTGATACATATTCCAATACTGTACGCATATGTGAGGTTTAAACTTGTAAAACACCGAGCGTACGGCGCGTCGCGTTCCGCACGCGCCTCAAAGAGCCATCAGACTACCACAGATGGGGCCCAATACGGCCGATGCCGATTCGGAGTCGCGGAGAACCTAACGGGTAACCGGGGCTCCGACTCGACGTGCAGGAGAAGGAACGGGGTGGTTTTTAGTCGGTAAGAGTCTGACACTCCCTTCCGCGTCACCCAGGCGGGAGTAGTCATTCGATGATTTTCCCCCCTTAAAAAAAAAACCTGTAAAACAAATTTTTACTAACGATTTTATTCCGAGAACAATCGCTACGGACTGGGTTAAATAACCATTGAATTACTTAATAGTACTGATAGTCCGTAACAATAGTAATTCAGTATAATTACAATATTAATGTTTATAATTCAGTTATTAACTCGTTCACCGTTATAATTTAAATACCAAGGTAGTTTCTAATTACCTATTTTAATTATACTTTCGCATTACATTTTTGCGTTGCGTGACAACGAAACAAATCGAGACGTGGATAAAACATAGTTTTTTTTTTAATATTGAATAATATAATGTTCTCAATTTAACATTAATAATAGAAAGTATATCTATGTAGCTAGACTTATGGCTGTGGATGACCTAAGTTCTGTATTTTGTTAGTTTTTATTGTCTTTAGTATGTAGTAGACAGAAGCATCTATCTCCTAGTCTATAATGGTAGATTACTTACTGCCTGTTAAATGGGACAAAAAAGGCTTCAAGATATTAGAAAATCCCTGAGGAAATTGAATGTATTTGAAAATTATGTTAGAATTGACGTTTTGTATGTAGGGACTGATCGAAGATATTATGAATCAATTTATATCAAATGTTACAACTTTTTTTTGGATAATTAAATTGACTTTTCTAACAAGCTGACGATTCTATCGATTTGGAATGCAACTCTAAAGTGATAAGGATTGTATTTAAAAGCCAACTGGTTGCATCTTTATTGAATTTTGTATCTTGTGACTATTGGAATAGAAGTGAAAATCTAATAACAACTCCAAATAGCTTGTTAGAATGTCTTATTTTATTAAAAAGTATATCTTATTACTGTTTGTATCAGGGTGTTGCAAAATTATTTACATTTATACAAATAAATATAATATTGTACTACATGCAGTACAAAGAACTATTTTATAAAGCCAAAATATATGCATTTTTAGAGAATGTTTTATGTATTTGATAGATTTATGAAATAAATAAACGTATTAACAAGATGTATTTCATTTATTTACACCAACACAACATCAACGGAATGATAGTATATAATTACTTACATTTTTGCTTAAAACTAAATTGCTTGCTAATGAGCAGTATTAAAATGGACATTGCAATTGTATATATTATGTTTATACAGTTGATACCTCTAAGAACAGTTATTTGCTGCAATGTGGTACTTGCCTCTATGAGGACCCCAATTTGGGATGCATCTTATTGTCTTCTAAAACAAGTTTCGTTATACATATTTGGCATAAAATACTAAAGCCAGCAACCTGAATAATATTCAAAGGTTTTATGTCTTAGTAAAAATATTAATCAATAATATTTGTTGCAAGAATAGTACAAGTAGATACAGTAGCTTATCGAAAGCATATAACTTTAAATATCACAATTAAAATTTCAGTAATTTTGACTGTTTCAACTTTTTGATAGTGGAGCAAGACAATGCATAAATAAATATCCATGATTTTAAAATATATAAAAACTTTTTCCAACAACCTCACAGGCCATTCAGAGCTAATTGGTTGACTAATTCACTGAACACTTTGCTTGTTGTAGAGTCCGGTAGTTCCTTGATGGCTGCTAACCCTTGTCCTGCCAGTTTCCCAACCCTGGGGTCTATGGGCACACTGCCCATGAATGGTATTTTGGCAATATCTGCTAGTGACTTCCCGCCACCACTTGAGAAGATGTTCGTGCATTCACTGCAGTTTGGGCACTCATATCTGTGGGCGAAAGTAAAATATTTTCAGAAAACAGAATTTTGAAGCATTATTTTTATTGATGTCAAATTGGAAGAATGTATGAATTTTTTAAATCGACCTAGTAATTTTGAGCCTATTCATTACAAACATACAAAAATAGGTACAAATCTTTCCTCTTTATAATATCAGTATAGAAGTATAGATATAACACAATCATACTGTACATGACACTAAGACATAGTTTGCGTTATATCATTTTATCTTTCAAAATAAATGCACAACTTATTGAATGGTGTTCGGCCAAAGTAAGTTTTGGAAAGTGTACATCACCACATTACAAGTTACTCATGTTATATCCAGGCTGAATGATGATGTGATAAGTACTTAATTGTAACATACTGTTTTCAATACCATAACTTGGCCTTCTATTAATATAATAATGATAAGACGCACAGGAAATAGGTTACCGACAATGTCACTGTTAGAAGATAAAAATTGACATTCATTATTATCATAAACAATGTATTTGGAAGTTGTTTATTAAATTGTATACATAATTATTAGTAGAAGAGAACTGAAGATTTAAAATTTAAATAACCTATTCTGACCTATTGTAACAATATGAAACTGATTACCTAAGGTCCTCAGGTCTGAGATTTTTTTTAAGGTGGGAAATTCATTGAGTGACTGCTCCCGCATGGGTGAGTCAGGTGGTGTCAGTCAGGTGGGAGTGTCAGACTTTTACTGACTAAAAACCACCCCGTCCCTTCTCCTGCACATCGAGCCGGAGCCCCGGTAACCCGTTAGGTTCTCCACGACTCAGGTCTGAGATGGGTCTTATACACATATTTGATGGTAAAAAACAACTCTCTCATGGTTTAGTTGAAATATTCTTGATTACGTATGTCTAACAGGAAAACTTGTAGTTCGTTCCAATGATTGTGAAAACTCACCCGCTCATATTTTCAATAATACCAAGGATAGGTATGCCAGTCTTTTTGCAGAATGTGATCTCCTTCCGCACATCTTCTATGGCAACTTCTTGTGGTGTGGTCACTATTATAGCACCACATTGTGGCACCTGACGAAGATTCTCCATCACTGTGATGTGTTCATCTGAAGTTCCTACAAAAAGTAAGAAACATTAGGATATTTAGTAGATACATGTGGATCTAATTAGTCTGTTGATGATGACTTAGCAAATTATTCAGTATTGTCATAATTGAAATGCTGAAAAGTAAGTTATAACTTAATTTTACAATGTGTAATTGACAAAATTTTTACTCAATTAGTGTAATATCTAGAACATCCATCTTTTAATTCACCTGGAGGAGTATCAATAACAAGGAAATCAAGTTCCTGCCAGCAAACATCTTCTAAGAACTGTTTTATCATTGATGTCTTCTTTGGTCCTCTCCACACTACGGCATCGTTTCGGGAGCTTAGTAAGAAACCTATTGACATCACGCCGAGCCTCTGTTCGTTGTCTAAATAGACTGGAATCCATCCTTCAGGTCCTTGGTGTACATTTTGGTTCTCCAAGTTCAATAAGTATGGAACACTAGGCCCACACAAATCTATATCTAGTAATCCAACCTAGAAATATAGATAAATAATGTTCATATAAGAATTACTAGGCAAAATCGACAAAAATTGATAAGTTCCACTTGACTTTACCTTATAACCTCTTTCTTTTAAAGTTAGCGCCAATTGGGTGCTAACTGTAGATTTTCCGACACCTCCTTTACCAGAAAGAACCAATATTACACGTTTTACAGAATCAAGCATTTTAACTTATTTTTACCGACGATATATTAAAAATGTTCAAAAATAAAATGCACAAAATAAACAATATGACAAAATTGACAGTTTAACAGTGACAAATTTTTATTGACATTTGACAGTCTTATCTTTGACGTTAAACATTTGAGTTTTAGTTACCTACTTGCGGCTTTCTTGTGGCGTAATATTTTTTCTTTTCCTATAAAGAAATATATTTTGTTTCATTTTAAACAGAAGTAGGAGAAAATACTTTAATTATAATCCAAAAATCCCATTATTGACTCCATTTTTTTTTCCTGTTTCGTTAGGTGGAAAGGAGTCGTTTCTTTTACGTTTGACAGCGCTTGCGCTAATCGCCGACTGCAGCGCCACCGTCGTTTATATTTTTCAGTTTTATAGAGATTTTTGTAGCGGGGTGGTTGTGTTGATCGTTTGCCGGTGCACATAAAATAGGAAATGCAACATTTTTCACATTTTATATATGTTTGTTGGACGTTTTATAACACAATCAATTTGTGTAATACTTTATTGTGTTGATTCGCTTAACATAAGTAGTGAACATCTTGTGTTAGTGTGTTTTATTTTCGTATAATTTCTGTTTAGTGGTTGTGCAAGGATTTGTCCCATCGACACTTGATTTGCTGCCTTGATCTGCATTCTCTGGGTTTTATGAGGTATTTATATGCAATTAGAGCTTTTAATAGTATAGATTTATTTAAATTATAGAGGTTTTAAGTCAGAAAGTAGCGGCGCAACGAGTGGAGCTCGTATAATTTCTTACGATGCGGGCATTTATCATTAGACCCACCCCTGGGTTAAGCCGATGGGGATCGACGAACGGATAATACTGTGCGTGTGCTAAATGTCATAATTTAACGTTACAGGGGTCGGCAAAATGCTTTATATTTTTATCTTAAATGAAATCATGGCTGGCAAGTCATAGCATTAGTACTTGCATGTTGATAACCCTAACTGTAGTAATACCCTAGAAACTACGTAGTTATAAAAATGTAGTTACGTAGCTAGGTATATTATTTAAATCTTATTACTCATTAAATTGTAATGATTTGCAGATATGAAATTCTAAGTAGAAGCTTTCCTTTACGCATATTACGAAAAAAAGAAGTATTCAGTTATAAAATGTGTTTATTCATGTATTTCTCTCTGAAGGGTAGAGGTAGAAGCAAGAAGAATATTAATTGCCTAATTAAAATAAATAATCAAGCGGTAAGTGTAATAAATTTAAATAAATATGTAAATGGCTACAACACCTTGAGTAATTATTTTATTTATTTTCACATAAGTAGAAATATTAATTAGGTAACATAAAGAGAACACATGTTCTTTTATTTTAAATATAACCTATTGGCACAATAAACAGCTGCTTGTTTTTAGAACTTAGCATATTTAAAAAAAAATATGACTCAACAAAATACAGTATCCAATTCCCTAGTCCGAGATGCTTAAATATTATGAATGGGCAGAATATAGACAAGATGCTTATCAGGTTAAAAATATTATTGATTACTTACTTTAATGTCTATGAAATTCGTAGTTTTCATCTATATCTAATTCTGTATTATAAGAAAAAACAGAAAAGAGCCATAGCAAGAGAATTATCAGGCCATGAAAAAATAGATTAGAACTAGTTTTCATGTTCCAAAAATCATTAAATCACACAGAGTAAATAACTCCATGAAAAATACTTATGAGCAGTATGCATGCAGTGCATGTGTCACAACTCTTATTATGTTATCTTATGGATAGCAATCTAACTACCTATGCCTACATAAACACACAATTCATTTAGTATGCCAAATGTGTGTGTTTTGCATCTTACAAGTTCTGCATTACAAGTAGCGTAGCCCGTCCTTCAACTTGATATTATGCAAACAATCTTGCGGTTTTTTACAATTTGCACAAATTATGTCGGTAAATGTTTGCCTTCATACTATAGATAATATTACCTATTTGTCGGTTTGTTTACTGTTAATTGCCTTAATGTAATTTTATTTTTCCCCAATTACTTAACTATGAAATGAATAACATTTTTAATTATGCAATTGTGTGTTTTTAATTAACTTGATATGATAAATATGATAAATAAATAGGTATGTTTTCCCTGTTCTCAAACCAATTTAACTGGTTGTTTGGATTAAAATAGGTACTGTATTTGAGATGACGACGTAACAACGTGACAATAATTAATACCATATTGAATAACTAAAAATCGCGGGTTACTCACGTGAAAATACTGAGACAAGCTCTACTAGTTTACATATTGATGTTATGTCACTTAGAAGGAACTTCTATCTAGAAGTACTAACAATTTCTATCAGCTTAGTACACTGGCAAAGGCTATATGGCTGCTGCAGTTATGCATCTTCAATATCTTGCAACTTCTTGTCCTTATCTTGCAAGGCATTTACCATAATTTTGTCCTTTAATCTTCGTAACAAAATATTTCGACGTCAAGAATTCAAGAGCATTTTCTCTTTACCGAATATCATTTATAACTTTATGTAGTTTGGAATAAAGTTGAAATAAAAGGAACAATGCCGTCTCTAGGAAGGCCACAGTGGTGACCTCAATACGGGTCGTCTACCGGGGGTGAGTCACCCTGCGCGTAGTTTACACTTAACTAGTGAATGGACTTCACGATTCTTAACCAGATGCCGATAATGTAATAAAATTGTGCCACAAATTGGCCAGGCATAAATTTCTTTAATCAATATGTTCCTACCTCTCGATGTCTTGCTCGTGTCAGGTTTGGAATTTTGTTTTGAATGAACTCACGATTTCTTGGTAAGTGTGCTCAAATTGGCTAGACAAGCGTTATATGATAGTTATGTGTATTTAAAAGAACATCTTAATCACGTGGCCTAATCTCAATTACCGCTTAATCATGAATTAAATCCGGTTTTCGAACGAACAATAATTACAAAGGACAGTTGCGTGATTAGATTACAAATAACTTTCTGGTACGCGCTCAGCTAAGACCAAAAACAGCTCATGGGTCGTATCTTGCGATACTAATGAGAAGAAATAGAATGGCGACCTATTCTTAGACTAGAACCACGCGACTACAAAACAAACCGTACGATTTCACCATCGCAGTTGCGCGACCAATCTAAAAATAACATCTATGGGATACCCAGTTAGATTTAATTGGGAGCAACCCCAAGGCCGCAACGAATGTAAATAAGGGCGAAGTTATTACCTTTGGTCACCCCCCGTGAGTTCCACCGAGGGAGGATTACATCGCGTCATATTTTATGCACATACCTCCCACGAAATCTAATTCGGTGATATTGGTTATTTTATGCATCTCCACTGAACTCCATTCCATAGGTTGTTTGTTGTAAATTTCACAGCACAGAGTAGAAAATGTAATCTACGACCTTCATGTTTTAAATCAATTTTAAATAATGCATGTATACGATCTCTACTGTAGGCCTGTGTGATCTTTGCATACAATATGTTAAAGCTATGCACAACTTATGTAAGTGTGTCGGACGGTAGGAAAAGTTGGTGTTGGCATGTTACCCCGATCTCATTAGCCTTTATTGGAAGCTTAAACAATAAATATTATGCAATAGTTATCTCGAATATAGCAAAGGGTTTTTCTAATTGACATGCGTGATAGCTTCACCCAGATACAAAACGGATAGAAATCGTGTAAGTATCAGACCCTAATGACCCAATAGTTGGAAAGTTAGATTTCCACGAACAGTTCAACGAACCCATTTTACTCTAGAACATGCAATATATCAATTCGGACCCATGTTAACCAACTTCTGGCGGAATAAATCATACTGTTAATTCCGCTGAGGTAGTTATAATATTAGTGTTCCGTAAATATTCTTTAACTTTGCCCTTAACCTACGCCCAAGGGCATTCTCCAATCGACGCAGGACTTGGTAGGGGTTGCTTATGGCATCGATGGCTAAAGGATTAAATAAATTATAGTTTCTGTTTCACAAGTAACTAGTTGTTTCTCGGTTGTCAATGCAATTTCATCGTGGCAATAATTGTTTAGAGATGAAGAATCTGACTTCTCCCTGGTGTAAAGTTATTAATTATTATTGATTGATGATTCCATTAATACATAATATTTAATCGCGTTTAACATAGTTTAAATCTTCGAAGTGAAACAGTTATTCTGCTCGACCTCGGAGCACTTCAGTGCGGTTGCGTAAAAACTAAATGGCGACGTGTTATGAAACTGCAGCCGTGATCCGTAATGGCTCGGAAAAAGTCTTTTGCATAATTACAGACTAAAGTTGTTGAGATTTTTATAATGAAGTCGACCGCAAATCCTACCTTAATGCTACCTGGACTGTTATTGCGGTCTTTCATTGTATTTCACTAAAAGCTCTCTCTTGACACCATTCTTAAAGTATTGTTGAATTATGGGGATCATTAAAACTTTTGTTTTTCTCCCCAAGACCATTAGGACAACTTTGGGTGCACTCGAGTTAATAGATTGTTGCGATGCTACCTGAAAAATTACTTAATGATGCTTGTTTTGCCTTAAACAGGCTAAAAGTGAGCAAAATTCCTTTAGACAAGATTATGCACTATAAATGTGTAGATTTAGAAGCTTCCTAATTATTTTCGCTACCTATGTTGTGGATAGGATGTTAAAGAAGCGGATACCCAAACAAATAGACATCGATTTAGGAAGTCTTTGAAATTGTTGCTGATCGCATGCAATAAAGTCTATTTGAATAACTATGTAGTTATTTTATATTGGCTACCGGAGCAGTGGTCATTCCGTGCACGTGGCCGGATGCTATGAAACTTCAATCGTTACTGGACATATGGCGGGCTGACGACACTGATAAATGACAAGGCTGTGGGGGCAAAGCACTCATATTTCATCCTAAATGGTAACAACATTCACATCATCTTGATAGACACAATGTCGTGTCGGTTGCATCATATTGACATTTTTAAAACATGGAATGTCTGGACGTTGTAACAAGAAGTTCCAGTTCAGTAAGTTCTTAAGATGTTAGTAGTAAAACATGATTTGACTGGAAGACATTAAGTAACTAGAATTTCAGTGAAACATTGAAAAGAACAGATTCCGTCTTGGAAGGTAAAAGAAATAAGACCAACTAGTAACAACCAAGTGTAATAACAGTGCAAAATGTCGCGGAAGCTCTTTGCCTAGAAGAGTATCCAGGAAGTTACCAAGAATAGTTGAGCGGAACTCGTCATTTAGTGTCATTCGGCAGTATGGAACGCGTGCGCTAACTCGTGTGCCATAAATCATAATGATTACCTTACGGGAGGGCCCCTCCCGGACCAGATGCACACGGCTATTGCCCTCCATCCTCTATTGCTACATGAGATTAAGCAGATTAGTGTTCTAAACAAATTAATGACTCTATACAGATTCATGAATGATGAATTGATGACTCGCTTATAATCAAGCGTAGTTTGAAGGCATTCTTATTTATGTTGTAACAAATGCAGTTTACTTGTTATTTGGATCTGGTGATAAAACAGATATTGGAATGTTAAATCGATAAATCGTGTACCAGATTTTATCGGGGATTAAAGACTAATTCTATAATACCATTTCCGATACCTCCCTCATTATTTCTTATTTCGGAATAGCTCTTACGAATGAGGATTAAAAGAAACGTTATTAATTTCGCTCCCT